ACTCTACAGCAGATGTCAACATAAGTGTAAATGTGAAAATTTGGGGGTTAGGACTATCTAGCTTGAAGTTTCAGAGCGGCTACTAAGATATGAGGTGATGCAAGATGATTTCATCTCTAAATGCTATCCAGTTCCCACTCTGTGATATAACTGTCTAAACAATACTCTTACAAGGGCTGGAGAGATGGCTCACTAGCTGTTCTTGCAAAGGACCCAGGTTCAATTCCCAGGACCAACATGGCATCTAACAACTGTCTGTAACTCTAGTTCTGGGGGATTCAACACCCTCTTCTGGCCACTACAGGCACTATACAACACATGTGTACTCACATACATGCAGACAAAACACTCATATATATATAAAATAAAAATAATTAAAAAATAAATAAAAGTGTCCAGGCATGGTGTCACATGCCTTTAATCTCAGCACTGAAGAAACAGAGGCAGGAGATCTCCGTGAGATGGAGAATAGCCTGATCTACATATTGAATTCCAGGCCAGCTAGGGCTCCAGGGAGACCTTGTCCCAAAAAAAACAAAACAAAAATAATAATAAAATAAATAAAAATAAAAGATACTCTGTCACTATAAAGGGCAGGTAAAGTTATATTAGAGACTGAGAGCAGGGTGTTGGAAAGATGGCTCAGTGGTTAAGACCACTGGCTGTTCTTACAGAGGACCCAAGTTTAATTCCTAGCACCTACTTGGCAGCTAACAACCATTCATAACTCCAGTTCCAGGGGATCTAACACCCTCTTCTGAGTTCCATGGGAATTGTATGATACAGGTCATATATTCATCACATAAAAATAAAAATATTTCTTTATTATTTTTATTTTTATGTGTATGAGTGTATTACCTACATGTGTGTAAGTACACCCATGCCAATGCTGGCAGAAGTCAGAAGAGGGCATTGGATTCCCTGGAACTGGAATTTTAGACAGTTGTCAGTCACCATGTGGGTGCTGGGAATCAAACCCAGGTCCTCTACAAGAGCAGCCAGTGCTCTTAACCACAGGGCCATCTCTCCAGTCCCCATAAAATATATATTTTAAAAAAGCATATTTTGGGGGCTAGAAAGACAGCTGGCTCAGTAGGTAAAAGCATTTGCTGTACAACTTGATGACCTGAACCTATGTAAAGTTGAAGGTTTGAACTAACACTCAAGGTTATCCTCTGACCCCCATAAGAATACCATTGCATGCCCTCATACAAATATGTACACACACACATATATAAAAATAAATAAAATTTAAAAGATCATATTTTGGAAACTATTCAAAGAAATAAGTCAAACCTTTGGTTCAAAGAGACAGTAATGTCTTCAAAAGGTTGGCATTAATTGCCCTAACTACAAACCTAAAAGCACACCTGTTTTAAATATATAATTTTTCAAAGTCAAGCATACCATAAAATATTTATCTTTCTCCAAGAAGACAACAACAGATAAGTAAAGGAGATTAATGCCCTTGCATGATCCCAAAGAGTGTCCATGGCACGGCATGAGAAGAGGAAAGAACTGACTTCAACATCCATGGTTTTCCTTCCCATATAAGGTAAAGTTATAGCTTCTAGGATAGAACAATGTTCCAATTAATTGTGGTATACCTATTTTCTTTTCCAAAGTGTCTGCTTCTCTTCTACCCAAACAAAACTATGCACATGATAACAGGTAAAAACTGAAATAAAAAGACAACTCAAGCTTAGTTTATACACACCCCCGCCCCCACCTACTAGGACAGCTCCTGAAGTGAGAGACCTTTATCAGAGGGTCCAGTCACTGACATCTGAGCACCATGATGGAACTGGCATGCTACAGTTTTACTGATTTTACTGTCCAACCTGGAGTTCCAAAGCCTCAATTTCACAGACTTCTAGAGAAGGCCATCAGATGTCTTTCCCAGCCCCTCATCACCTGCTTAAATTTTTTTCTTGGCAGTTCAAACTTTTGGAATAAGACGGAGGATCTTTATTGCAAGAACCTCAGGAAAGTATCCTAACACTTCCCCCGGGCTATTCATTTCTATTTCAACAGATCTTAAACTCTGAAAATAGTTGACATTTTTTTTCCTCCCTTAGTATCACAAAAACAGATGGTGTTAGATAGCTGGTAAATAACAGTACTCCCACCCCACCACTGCAAGTGTGAAAACTCACTTATACCTTAATGGGAGTAAATTTCTTTTTATTTACTTATTTATTTATTTATTTACTTATTAATTTATTTGGTCTTTCTGAGACAGGGTCTCCCTGTAGACCCAGATGGCCTGGAACTCACTATGAAGACCAGGATGGCCTTAAACTCACAGAGATCTGCCTGCCTCTGCCTCCCGAGCGCTGGGATTAAAGGCATACGCCACCACGCCCGGCAATGAAAATAAATTTCAATCAGGCCCTTTCCTGAGAAATTTTAGTTAGATCATCCACTTTGCAAGAATTAACTAGTCCTAATGAGTCCTAAAGAGAAATGAGTCTAAGGAAATCTCTTGGGACTGCCAGGAAAAGCTATCCTACTGAGGTTCAGTCTAACCCAGGGTTTTGCAAGATGCCATATGAAAGTATCATGTCTCTTCGTGGAAGACTCTACATTTCAAAAATTTTTTAATGACACATTAATCAGCAACTGTTTACTAATTGCCAAGTAAGGCAAAGAAATAAGGATCTAGGTCTGGAGAGATGGCTCAGCAGTTAAGAGCACTTGCTGCTCTTGCAGAGGAACTGAGTTTATTTCCCAACACCCACATGGCAGCTAACAACTACCTGTGACCCCAGTTTCAGGGGTTCCAACACCTTCCTCAGGCCTCTGCAGGCACTGTACATACATGACATATATACAGACATGCAGGCAAAACATTCATACACTATAAAATGAAAATAAATCTTTTAATTAAAAAAATTAAATAAAAAAAAACGGATCTAATCTTTTAGACTTTTTTGAACAGGGTAACTGTCTCAAAAACATTTGTAGCCCATAGTGACCTTGAACTTGCTATGTAGCTGAAGATAACCTTGAACTTCAGAGCCTCCTGCCTCTACCTCCAGAGTGCTGGGATTACAGGTGTGTGCCAGCAGGCCTGACTTTATGCGGTGCTAAAGATCCAACCTGCATGCTCAGCAAGTACTCTATCACCTGGACTAACATCCCCAGCCTTTCAGACTTCTAATCCCAGAATGCCTAGTATAGTGAGCCACATAAAAATATCATATTTGTAGAATGTTATCTAGCCAGAGCAATATGATCAGCAGTTAAAAATCTAGCTCCTTGAAGTCAGAAAAGCCTGAGGTTGAAATGTGACTCCCTGCTGAAATTCATGAAGCCCAAGTTTCTACATCTGGAAAGAAAGCCTATCTCATGAAGTTGCAGAAATAGGAAAATCTGGGAAGTACTTAGACATAGAAGCATCAAGAAATGTCCAAAATGATTTTTATTTGCTATTACTTATATATATTTATCCTGCTGAACTTTACAAGGGTTAGCAGCCTTAAACTAAAACTAAGAACATGTTATTACAGTCTTAAAACTTCCATACCTAATCCTTTAACCTACCCAACACAGCAACTTCAACGATTATTTAAAGAACAGAAATTCCTTGTTAAATATGGTACATTATTCACATAAACAAAGCTAGTGTACAGTAGTGAGTCACTGAAGGGTTATTTTTTTTTAATTTGTTTGTTTGTTGGGTTTTTTAAGCATTTCTGTAAGTTTGGAAAGCAAATAAATGTCTATTAAGGGGAGGATATATAAGGTACAATGAATTCATATAATGGAAACCACATTACGTTTAGCTCAGGGCCCTGGGTTCTATCCCTAGCACTGAAGGAAGGACAGAAGAAATGAAAATTAATTTAAAAAAAAATCCTCAACACCACCTTTACCTTACAATTTGTAATTAAAATCCTGTTTATTCCCTGTGTGCATATAAAGGTTTAAGCAATAAGCATTCTAAAAACAGAAAATAAAGGTTAAAAAAAGATTATTGCCCAGCATGGTGGGGTAGAATATTCTTGTAATTCCAAATGAGGTGAGAGGATCTCAGGTTCAAGGCCAGCATGGGCAACATAGCTGAAGTGAGACAAAGCAGCACAGAAATTATTGATCATATGAAGTTCCCCATATGTCTGAGAGGGCGCCTGATTTAGTAATGGCAATCACTTGGTCTTGGAAGTCAGGCGATATGTTCTATATTCTGTTCTTCACCAAAACACTTTATTTCAGACCTTCAGTTTTCTCACCTAAATAAAGCTGACAACACCTGCCTTGTAGGATGAGATGAAAAAAGTGCTCTACACTTGGTTTTTGCCTAATAGTCAAGAAGTCTGGCAACAGCACTCGACAGGGGGGAAATGCTGAGTCTTCACCTTTTGCATGCAATTTACCATGTGGTAGAAAAATGTCAACACAACAGGGAGGGGCAGCCTCTCATCTTCCTCTTCCCAGTCCCAAGTGGCTGCGTCCTATGCTTTCTATATTTAGCACAGAGCGCAGAGACAGCAGAAAACTACAGCTTTTGATGGGCTCCCTTCAGGATTCCCGATGACCTTGGGATACATTTTTTTTTTCATTTCGCCAATCTCCTGCGCCTGTCCGCGCAACACCCACCCAAAAACACACAGCGCTGCAGCCCACCGGGCAGATGAACGAGTCGCGGTCTTGAAATGGACCGTGAAAACGACAGTGCAATGTGGGTGCCGGAACGTTCTGCTTGTTTTCCAACGTTAAGAGTAAGAGGGAAGTACTGTGAACTTTTAGCGCCCACTCTGCAGAAAGGAAAGGTGTCCCAAGCCTCGGGCAACTTAAGGTCTGCAACCTGTTTCCAAGCACACGGTCCCTGCAACTAGGTTCCACACAAAGAACGGCACACGGAAGCCCGGAGCGGCAGGCTCGCGTGCAACCGCTCAGACCCACTGCTCACACCCTCCCGCGCATGGGGCGGTCCCGCGTGCCCGCAGGATGCGCTCCTACACCGCGTGTGCCCCGGGCCGGCCTTAACGCCTCACCAGCCTTGAAGACCATCTGGTCATCGTTCGCGGTCCCGGTTTCATTCAGCAAGGACTCCAGGAGCACCCCGTAGGAGTTCTGGATGCCGAACACCGACCCGTTGCACCACATGGCCGCCAGCATCACCAGCCAGCCCCAGCCGCCCTCCGGGGGCTCGGCGCCCGCCGGCCTCGCCAGCTCCACCTCAACCTTCTCCGCGGCCACCTCGGCGCCGTCCGAGGGTCCCGGGCCGGGCAGCGGAGCGTCCTCCATGGACTCGGGCCCTGGCGGCTGCGCCTCGCTCATTCCCCGCGCGGCGGCGGGCTCCTCCCGGGAGGGCACCATGGCCCGAGGCGGCCCGGTCCGGCGCAGAAAGCGCACAGGCGTGGGGTCCCACTGGCACGCGGGGGCTGAGAGAAGCGCGCGGGCGGGCTAGGGAGGCTAGGCGAGGGCGCAGGAGCCCAGGGCGGACGAGCGGCGCACGACACCCAGGCAGCCGCGGGCGCCTCAGGATTCAGGACTCAAGCTTCTCACCGGTCGCCCCACACGCCCGTCGGAGCCCGCAACCCCAAGGCCGCTTCTTAAAGGCAACCCCCGCCCGGTCGGCTGGGGGCGTGGCCGGAGGTGGGACGTGCCCCCGGAGCCCACAAATGATTGGACTTTGGAGAAAGGGGGCGGGGCGCCCCATGTTGCACAGCCCCCCCCCCCCCCCCCGGAGCCTGGGCGGGGGGAGCGCAGCGTCTGCCGGCGCGTAAGCTGCCGAGCCACCTGTTAAGGCGCCTAGTGTCGATCACAGAGACGCGAGCCACCTCCTCTCAGGATCAAGTTTAGAAGGGGAGCGTCTCCTCCAAAGACCCGGCTGGTAGGTCATTGATCAAGTAGGCGCGCTGGGTCTTTAGCCTTGCTGGAACAGTGCCACGAACAAATTGACACTATCTTGATTTTGTGTTTGTTTCTTGGGGTTGCCTTTTCGTGCTAATTATAGAAGATTCCTTATGCCAGATGCCTCGTTAAGGAGGAATTCGAGAGAATCAGAGGCCTTATTTAATTACCTCAGTTCCGTTCTCTTCCCTGCATATACAGTTTGTTTTGAATACTTGGCACATCAAAGATGTTTATTTTGGAAGACAGACCGGTTTTGAAGTCTTCAAGGAACTAACATTTTGACAGCTAGAAAGCATTACTTTTCAACTACTCATAGCTGTTTTTACCCTAAGCAATAGTAAAATTCAGAGCTGGAGAGATGGCTCAGTGGTTAAGAGCACTGGCTGCTCTTACAGAGGACGCTGGTTCGATTCTCAGCACCCATATGATGACTAACAACCGTCCACAACTCCAGCTCCAAGGGAATTCAGTTCCTTCTTCTGACCTCCGTGGACATTGCACAACACAGAGGCAATACACTCATACACATAAAAATAATAAATAAAATATTTTTTAAGTAAAATTTATATTCAGCTTCTCTGCCTCCCTGAAGCATGGAGTGCTAATGTATCTATGCAATATTGAAGATCTTCTTAATTTCTCAATTATTCAGATTCTTCACTACAACTTAGGTGCCCACCCCTGGGGTGGGATACACAGATGACTGTGATTGATCACATTTGTGCTTCTCTTAATTCATAAACTAGTCAGTAAAAGCAGTCCTGTGAAGTGAAGTGCTATGTGATAAGTTATAATGTATGTATAACACAAGTGCAATGGAGCCAATTAACTTTTCTTCAGAACACTAAAGAGTAGTCTCTACAACAAATAGGTTTGAGCTGAGCCCTAGATTATACACAAGACTTCAGTGGACAAGGACAAGCAAAGAGAATTCCAGCAAGGGAAAACAGGGTGTTCCTGAAGAATCTGGAAATATAGTGCAAATGTGGTATGCTTTAGGGATTAAGTTAAAGTGATACAACAGCTTGGATATGTTTTTGCCCTCCCGCCCAAAGCCCATGTGGTAAAGACTTGGTCCTTAGTCTAAGAACTAATGGTGCTATTGGGAGGTGATCAAAATGTTAAGATTGGAACCTAGTGGGAGAGCTTGCCCTCCAAGGAAATTGTGAGCTCTTTCTTTGATTCAGAGCCAAAGGTGAATGGGCTTCCTCTGCCATATGCTGTCACCATCATGCCTTGCCATAGACATAAAAGCAGTGGGACCAACCAACAGGACTATGAGCCAAAATAAGCCTTTCTCCTTTTTTAAGTTGATTATTATATGCATTTATTGCTATAATAGAAAGCTGACTAGCATAAATAGTAAACCAAGTGTTGTAGTGCACACCTCTAATCTCAGCACTTGGAAGTATCTCAAGATTATCCTCAAAATATAGAGCAAGTTTGAGGCCAGCCTGGGCCACATGAGATCCTGTCCCAGAAAAAAAAAAAAGTAAAACACAAGTACATAAAAAGAATATCCAAGGATGTTATAGCAGTATTGTTAGAAATGAGGAAAAATTGAAAGCAGGATGTACATCAAGCTAGGTGTCCTGGCACACACCTGTAGTTCTCATACTTGGGAAGCTGAGGCAAGAAGGACATAAGTTCAAGACCAGCCTGGATTAATAGCCAAACCCTATCTCAAAATAAGTGAATAAATAAATCAATATCAATAGAGGAGTGATTAAATAGACTGTAAACCCTAAAAGTTATATTAACTATTATCTATTGATGGGGGCACTAGTGATTGAACCTATGGCTTTACATGTGCTTGGACAAACTAAACTATACCCCCAGCCCCTACTTACTGACTGAAAATTGTTCACAATTTCCCAGCATGGTGGTGCATGCCTTTAGTCCCAGCACTTGGGAGGCAGAGGCAGGTCAATCTCTGTGAATTCAAGGCCAGCTCGAGCTACAAGGAGACCCTGTCTCAAAAAAACCAAAAAAAAAAAAAAAGCTCACAACTTATTATTGGGCAGATCACATGTCTTAATTACTTTTCCTGTTGCTGTAATAAAATACCCTGACACAAGCTACTTAAGGAAGAAAGGATTTATTTTGGCTCACAGTTCCAGGTACAGTCCATCACAGTAGAGAAGTCCTGGTGGCAGGAGACTGGTCAAGTTGCATCCCTAGTCAAGAAGCCAAGAATGCTCTATGAATGCTCCTGTTCAGATAACTTTCTCCTTTTTATGTACCCTAGTATATAAAGTAAAAATGATAAATAAAATATTTTAAAGATGACAGTATGGAAGAGGAGGTTAGAGTACAGAATCTGACAAGACACTGTGTTAACCTGGTGGGTGACGAATGTATTCCTAATATGATGCTATGATTTGATGAAAATGGCATTTTACTCTTTTTTGGTCTTCCTTCCAAACCTACAGACTATCAGACAGTCTATGCAAATTCCAATTGAGAAATATTTACAAAATACACGATACGTATTCTTCAATGCTGTCAAAGTCATCAAAAACAAGGAAAGTCTGAGAAACTGTCATAGTCAAGAAGAGACAAGCTGTATGTTGTATGAGAGCGTGGAACAGAAAAAGTATATGGGGCAAAAACTAAGGAAATTCGAATAATGTGAAGACTTCAGTTAGCAGTAATGTACTAATATTAGTTCTTAAGTATAACAAATGTGGTATTCCAATGTAAGCTATTAATAAGAAACTGGATGAGGCAATGTGGGTACTCCATGCTATGTTTGTAATGCTTTCTTAAATCTTAAACTGTTCTTAAAAATAAAGTTATAAGGGACTGGAGAGATGGCTCAGTGGTTAAGAGCATTGACTGCTCTTGCAGAAGACCCAGGTTCAATTCCCAGCATCCACAGAGTAGCTAACAACCATCTGTAACTCCAGTTCCAGGGGCCTTCTTCTGGCCTCTGTGGGCATCGCACAACACAGGTGCACTTACACACACACAGGCAATATGTTCAGACACATAAAATAAAGATAACAAAATATTTTAAAAGAAATAAAATAAACTTATGAGGGCTGGAGAGATGGCTCAGTGCTTAAGAGCACTTGCCACTCTTGCAGAGGACTGGAGTTCATTTCCTACCACCCATATGGCAGCCTACAACCACCTGTAACTTCAGTTCCTGGGGTTCTGATGTCCTCTTCTGGCCTCTGAAGGCACTGCATGCACATGGGACACATACATATATTCAAGCAAAGCACTCAAACAAAATTTAAAAATAATAATAAAGCTATTTTAGGGGCTAGGGAAATGGCTCAGTCTATGCCTATCACACAAATATAAGGTCCTGAGTCAGGATCCCCAGCACCCATGTAAAAGCCAGGTACAGCAAGGCATGTGCTGGGGGAAGGGGTGTTAGGGGAGCAGAGAGATGGAGACCAGAGGAATATGGGGAGGAGGAGAACAGCTCATTGGCCAGCCAGCCTAGCCAAATTAATGAGAACCTGGTTCAGTGAGAGACCTCCTGTCTCAAAAAAAGGCAGAAAGCGGTAGAGGAAGACACCCAATGTCGACCTCTAGCCTCTGTAAGCACACGTAAGCACACGTACACATGTGCAGGTGCACCTGCACACACAGGTGTGCACACACTGTCACACATCCAAACACATACATGAGCACAGGCACACACACACACACACACACACACACACACACACACACCACCGATAAAGTTTATTTTAAAAGAACATGTAGCCAGGCATGGTGGCACATGTTGAGATAGAGGCCAGCCTGGTCTATATAGTGAGTTCCAGGCCAGCTGGGGCTACAGGGGAGACCCTGTCTCAAAAAGACAGTAAAATAAATTAAATAAATAAATAAGTAAATAAATAAATAAATGTGATTGTTTGAATAAGAATATCCCTTATAGACTCCAAGTATTTAGACATTTTGTTCTCAGTTGGTGGTGCTGATTTGGGAGGTCTTAGAAGGTGTGACTGTGCTAGAGGAAGCATGTCGCTGGGGCTGGGCTTAAAGAGTTCTTTGTTTTGCCTTGGTTTTTTAATCTTATATATTATTTTATGTGTATGAGTGTATTGCCTGCATGTATGTAAGTGCACCCATGTCGTGCAATGCCCTTGGAGGACAGATGAGGCCATCAGATCCCCTGGAACTGGAGTTACAGACAGAGTTGTTAGCTGCCAAATGGGTGCTGGGATTCAAACCTGGGTTTTCTGCAAGAACAGCCAGTGTTCTTAACCACTACTGAGTCATCTTGGACTTGGAGAGTTCTTAAGCCTTGCCAGATCTTGAGTCACTCTCTTGCTTCCTGTGCCTGCTTGAAGATGTGAGTGCTCCACTTTCTACTTTTGCTCCAGCCACCTCCTGCCACCATGCCTCCCCTCCACGATGGACTGTAATTCCCCTGGAACCATAATTCCCCTGGAACTGTAATTCCCCTGGAACCATAAGCTCAAATAGACTTTTCCTTCTATACATTGCTTTGGTCAGTGTTTCTCTCACAGCAACAGAAAAGCAACTAATACAATAAGTAAATAAATAAATGAACATAGGGCAAGATGGCTCAGTGGGCAAAGTCACTTGCTGCCAAGCCTAACCACCTGAGTTTGGTCCCAGGAATTCACATGCTAGAAGGAGAGAAACAACTCCCACAAAGT